ATATATGTGTATATATATATACGTGTATATATGTGTATATATATATACATATATACATATACACACATATATATATGTGTGTGTGTATGTATATATGTGTGTATATATGTATACATATATACATATACACACATATATATATGTGTGTGTGTATATGTGTGTGTATATATGTATGTGTGTATGTATGTGTATGTATGTATGTATGTATGTATGTATATATGTATATGCGCGTATAATGCATACGCATATACATATATGTATATATGTATATGCGCGTATAATGCATACGCATATACATATATGCATATATGTATATGCATATGCGTATAATGCATACGCATATGCATATATATAGAAATAGTGCAAAGGAGAAAATATTGAATGAATAAACTACTGGATTACTTTAAAGTCATGAAGTGTACAGTATATACACGTTTTAATTTTATTCATTCAAAAATGAGTCATATTCAGAGTTGTGTGAAAGCAGTTGTAAAACAAAGTATTAAGTAACTATAATAATCATATAAATGTAATTTAATCTTACCTGATGACTCACTGTACACTATTCCTGCTTTTCGTTCCTCAGGAGGATGATGACATTGAGGAAGGTGACCTCCCAGAGCACAAGAGATCTCCTCCCCCCATCGATTTTGCCAAGATTGATCCGTCCAAGCCGGAAGAGCTGCTCAAGATGTCCAAGAAGGGCAAGACTCTGATGGTGTTTGCGACGGTGTCAGGAGATCCCACTGAGAAGGAGACGGAGGAGATCACAGGCCTTTGGCAGGGCAGCCTCTTCAACGCCAACTTTGATATTCAGAGGTAGTCACTCTCTCAACCTTTTATCATTTACAAGAACTTTATTCAGCTGCATTTGAACTACTATCAAAATGAACGTCATTCATTAATGATTGGAATGAAGGTTCTGTTAGTTGGACGAGCCAATTGAAGAGATACGTTCAGATGTTTAGACGTATGGTTGTATGAGGTTCTTCTCCATTGTCGGTGTATTACTACAGTACATGTACTACTGTGGACGCATTTTAGATAGCTAACATACGTCTAGCTGACCTCATGCTGTAGACTCAGTCCCATTAATGTCTCAGAGGGCTACGTTTTCACACTCAACGTCCACTTACTAGCTCTTCTCTGGAGAAAACTACATCTGAAGGCCTTCATCAGTGGATGAAGTTTGCTGAGTTGTCATCAGTATTGGAGTACTGAACTTTGTTCTTGTGACAGTAAATAACCACCTTATCACATCATATGATCCTAAATGAAGGCTTAATTTTTTAAAAACTCTTTATAATTTGTTAGTTGACTTTTTTTCACCACCTGGTGGGACATATTGTAATTACACCTCATTGTTCAGCCTTCCAGTGGATGCACTAACACTGGCAGTGAAAGCAGCCACAGTAGAGAACAGGTTCAGGTAGTTATGCAGTCTCTACACTCTAGTGTCACAGTAGTTCTGATACAGGCTCAAATAAATGTAGCGACCTCCAGTGTGGATGTGAAAGTCCAGTGTAACTCTAGCTTCTTATTATAAATCAATATACTTGCAATCAATGATTTCTTGCATTGTAATCAAATGAAATTCATAATCAAACTCTGAAATGTGGGATTTGGGCCAGTAAGGTTATATAAAGCTTACCCAGCTAGCAATACTTTGGTTCCAAGTCGGTACCAAAATCCAGAAAACGGGACAGTACCTGTTTTTCTACTGTACCAGGATGCAGTAAAGTCACTCTCCATGCGTCCAGAGGACGCATGGAGAGTAAAAAACGTTGGAGTGAAGAGGATGAACCCTAGTTCATCCTAATTTGACGTTGTGAACAACAAATCCAGGTTGAAATGGGCAGAAGGAGAGCTAGTTAACGTTAGCTGTTAGCAGCTGGAGTACAGTCCTGCTCGGCTAAATAACGGAGCTAACGTTAAGGGAGGTTGCATTATGCCAAATTAGGAAGTGTTCAAGCCCTATTCAGTAAAAATCAGTATTGGGCAAAGGTGAATTATTATTATCATGATGTGTTCAAATGAAATCATTTCAAATGTAGTTTTGGGCGAGAGAAACAGATGCAGGGCTCCAGAACAAAGCTCTCCACTTATTGCTCACACTTGTTTGTAACAGCATGATATTAATCAGTGGTGGACAGTAACTAAGTACATTTACTCCAGTACTACTGTTTTTAAGTACATTTCTGATGCTACTTTCTTCTCCACTATATTTCAGAGGAAACGTTTTGCTTCAATACATTTATTTATGAGTAATACAATGCATTGTTATATAGTAAGTTAAACCACCTAAAATATAAAGTGAATAAATGAGCTCTATCGTAGTCAGCATCTTCCATTTTACTGCATTAATGATATGAATCTCAATCTATTATTAGAATATCAAATATGCAACATATATAACAACTAAAAAGCCCTTTTATTTAGGTAAGATTTTGAATGCAGGACTTTTGCTTGCAACAGTTTCTTTTAAATCGTGGTATTCTAGTTCTTTTACTTCAGTAAAAGATGCTAGTACTTTTGTCAGTACTGGTAGTAATTACTGACAGGCTCAGGACACAGCAATAACTAAATGGATCCTTTAGGCTGGCGTCTCCGCTCCGTAATGATCATCATGCAAACACAGACAGAATGCTTCCTCTTTGTTCAGCGCTATAGATGACTAACAGAGTAACAGGATAGGTTGACACTGAGCTCAGGACATATAGTCTTAGAAAGGAAATGGTAATCAGCAGGTTAGACTTCGGCCAAGGAAAATGCAATCGGTCCATCTTACTTGGAGGACAATAATGTCCCCTTCCTAAAGCTGATAAAACAATGTTAATATTATTTTTCCACTTTTGGTATTTTTTTTAGTCATGAATTCATTCCTTTTCTGAATTTTAACTCTTCAAAGACCAGTTT